AAATCAATTAATTTTTTTCCATCCTTTGCTGCCCTCAACGATCTTCTTTAGGTCCTGTAATATTCATTTTTTTGTTTGTTAATGATCATGTAGATTTGATCTACTCTAATATTCTGCTTTATGCACAGGACAAAAGCTTTACTGGAAAATTGATGACCTATTTAGTTGCTCTTACCTACAGAAAAAACTTGACAGACTAACTGAATGCTATGATTCTAATCAGCTTCCCATCAACGTGAGTAAATATAAATCCTCAACTTTTACCAGGTAGGTAAATGCCATCACAAATATTTACAAAATTAACTACGCCCCTCTTCAGACGGTAGGGAGCTCAATGGCCTAAGGGTAATATTTGACAGGACATTGAGCATTAATCCTCACCTGATTAACTTACTAAATACTACCAATAAGGCACAATTCGTTTGTTCTTTCTAAGCTGGATAATGCAAGAATAATCTGGAGAAACCCATGCTACCTTACATCATGTGAGTTATTGGAAAAAATTCAGAAGGACCTCTTGAAGTAACGTATGTCCTAAGTTTTGGCACAAGATATTTATCAGATTTCTTTTTAATGAAGAAATTTATTCAAAAACTAATATGTTATCACTAATTGCAACTTAACACTTATCTAAACTATGCTATCGAATTAAGTGGAGTGGCCCATTCTGCTCTACTAGACGCAACTTTCTTCGAATGTCTCTTATGGGGTTCTGGACGAAATTCAGATCACTTTCTCTCAGTTTTTCGTAATTGTTCTTCATCTTAGGCTTCCCAGCCGGCATCATAAACATTCCTAGACAGTAAGGCTCAAAAATCCTCTAATTGGAGAACCTGCGGCAAGTTTGGAGGATTATCACATTTGGGAACAAAAGGTGTGTTGTGTTGTCGAATCCAGACTCTCTCTTGAGAAATGACTTGATGCTACCTCTGGCCAAAACATGATACGGTCATTAGCACGATGTTCGTGGACAAACTGAAGCAATTTGGAAAGGCAGTTATCAACATAGCTCTGGCTATTAAAAGCTACCCCCCCACTCTTCCCACAAAAGGTTTGGATATACCCCTGCTAGAAATTGCGCACCAGACAAGGATTTTATCTGCCAATTTCGCGTTATGTTTGTATCTAACATTGACTGGGCTTCCTCTACGTTGTCCGTATACAAATTGTCGTTTCCCTTTATTTCGGAATTATTCAAAGTCAAACCTTGCGTCATCTGAAATAATGATTTATTCACCGGCAAAGTGTACCCGCATCAGTTGACGACAGCATCTTGGTCTCTTTCTATATTTAAGACCATTCCTCCTCAATTCCAACGATATCTTCAACTTGGAAGATCTGTATTGACGAGCCACTCTCCTTGTTGACATTCCAACCTGATTTTTTCTCTTCTCACCAATCTGTCTGATCTCTGTGCAGTAAATGCGCGTGGTCGTATACTTCTTGGGAGATTCAGACATGGTATCCCCTGCTCACACTCCGCTATTGTTCGATAAATGGTTGTGCGTGAAATGCTTTAATTCTGGAATATTCGACAAATTTCAGCTTTGGGTACTCGCCCAACCAACTTGTAGATATATTTTCTTATTTCTAATTCATACGACCAGTGATTGTATACGCGTATACAATGGTGAATATATACGCCTCGATATTCTCGTATACAATGTATAAAATGTATATAATGTATACAATAGCAAATCATAGTTCAACTACTTGCATATAGTGCTGCCGAAAGTCCCTTTACCTTTTAGATTTCCATAGGTACTAGGAAGAGAGAGAGGAGAACAAGCGGGCACCACTTGTGTAGAAAAAGTGCGCCACACACCACGTTGTCTGGCACAACAGTGATGAAGGCCACAGAACACAACTGTAACTTGCTGTAACGGCTTGTTTTCTACGCTCAAATACACATTTCTGTTGAATCTGTTTGGGATCAATTCCAGATCGATCCTACGAGGCCCTTCCCACTTCAGTTGGCCCACTTCAAGATTTGTACCAAAATATGCCTTTATAAACTAAACATGACGAAACCATTTACTTCTAAAACAATTTATTTTCTCAAAAACATTTTAGATATACTCTAGTCGTAAAAAATACGTATTTGAAATCACGTAGACCTATAACTAATAAAACCTTTAGAAAAAAAACAATGTGCGATTAAATGCGCGAAGTTAACAAAATAACAACTGAAAGATTACCATTGGGTAACATCACCTTTATTTTTTATTACGGCTAAAATTCTCTAGGGCATAGTGTTAACCAAGTTTTGGTAAAAATTTGGTGTAAAATAATCCCATATTTCTTGAAGCTTTTGTCTCAGTTCGGTGATTGTACGAGCAGGATGTTGTCGTAGAACCTTTTTCATCTCGTGCCACAAAGTTTCAATAGGTGAGAGATCTGGACTGCTAGAAACCAATTTCGAAAGTGGTACATTATTTTCTTCCATACATTTTATAGCCTTTTTTGAGGGATGGCACGCTTCACCATCTTGCTGAAACACAAAATCTTGGCCAGATGTCAAACATTCTTCCATCACTGGTAAAAGCGGTTCTTCTAAAATTGCCAAATATTTGTTTGTATCCACATTTCCATCAATAAAATGAAGTTTTCCTACTCCTTTGATGACATACTGCCCCAGACCATAATGAATGCTGGAAATTTCACTTTTCTCTTCAGACAGTCAACATGGAATGCTTCATTTTTTTGCGAATAACTCTACTGCGACTGTCCCCAACACAAACTTCGAATCGGGCCTCATCACTCCATTGTATTGCACATCATTGTGGAGGTGTCCATTGTCTATGTTCTTTCGCCCATCTAAGCCGATTTTTCTTTTGCAGTGGAGTTAATAGTGGCTTTTCTTTGGCCTATAAACAAGTTGTGCAACTTTAGAGTTTTTACTTCACTTTTTTTATAAGAAAACTTACCTTGCAAGTGCTAAATCCCAGTTTGTGGGCCTCTCTATGAGTTGTGGACCTTGAAATTCTCCTTCCAACAGCGTCACACCACAGAGCACTTAATTGTAAATAATTGGCACGCCTGTTTTTCACGATTATTCTTCTTAATGCTCTTCTGTCGGCATTTGTGATATTCCTTTTTTTCACATATCGTGGCTTAATATTAACTGCACCAGTTACGTTATATCTTCTAACAATATTTCTCACACTGTACCGCGATAAGTCTAACAAAGTTGCAATTTCTGAGTTTGATTTCCCAGAATTAAAAAATTTAATTATCAGTAAACGAATTTTCTCACTAATAACCTTTCCTGTACCCATTTTGAAAACCTTAACTACCTAAAACTATTACGCATTCTGACAGCTGCGATTAATAAAAACAATTGTCATGGCTTTTATTTTTCACACCCACCTATGCGTTATAGACTTATTTTGCATTGAAATATGCTGCAAATTTGATTAGGGAGTGATAAAGTTGGTGTTTTCTACTATATATATTATCAAAATATTCATTGTTAATATTTTAAACCTATAACACGCTGCTACATTTTTATTATTTGTGTATGTGTGTATACAAAGATACAGTTTTAAATAAATTGAGAACAACAAATGAACCCTAGTTCATCGATTTCTTTGTTCTTGGAGAGTCCAACCATATTTTTTTTAAGTTGTCGATTTACTGTTTACCAACTTTCTGACATTTACGAATAAACCTAACCTCACTTATGCTATTCTATTCTTCATCATTGTATACATTGTATTCACTGTATACATTGTATTCGTTGTAAACGCAATTTCTACATTGTATTCAATGTATACGCATTGTATACATCGAGACGTAAACAACTAATGTATACGCGTACGCGCCCATCACTGCATACGACACCTTAGAGCGAAAACTTCAAAATAAATAAATGTCAACTGACAGTAAAGTAAGTAAGCAAACTTTTGTTTCCAACGACAACTTATTATTTTGCGTTTGTTAAAATTAAAGCCAATAAATTTTGTGCCAAACTTTTAGGACATAGGTGACGTATCACTCAAAACCAATGGTGTTTATCCTCCCATAAGAATATCACAGTTTATCTCACATCAATAGTATAGATGTCTCAGTCTTGATGATAGAAGGAAGATGCAATCTCTATTTTTTTACATAAAATTGTAAATTAGCAGCCAAACATGGCTATGCTAAATTTCTATACACCTAAAATACGATCAAGGGCCAACCTTACCTTTTACCAACCTACCCCAAGAACGCACCTACTACTGCACTCACCGTTACATTCGATGTGTTCATGCTATAATGACTATAGGAACTACTTCGATATATTCAACACATCCATTTCTACTATTAAGGGAGTATCTAAAGCCGCAGTACATTCAGAGCTGCCACAGATTCAATAAGGCTAGAGCAGTGGTTCTTCTGTCCTTACTGTAAATTATTAAATCAATTTGGATCACCCTATACAATAGTATTATTAGTAGGTAAGTTTTTATTGGATGAATCTATCTTGCCAAGAAACTTTAAATTCATTCGTAAAATAACTCATAAAGGCCTCCCTAACTTCTTTTGCTGCATTCGCTATATTTCCAAATGGCCTTCGTTGCAAGCTAGACATATTAGAACCTTGTGAATTCAATCCAAAATGTGCCACACCGTCTTCCGTATCATCATAGTCAAAGCACTCTGGAGGAGTATATATAATAATAATAATAATAAATGGGCTTTATTTCGTACCTAAGTAAAAACACAAAAAAGGCGAAGTGTCGCTAAGATTAGCGTTTTTCAACTTAACCTTGATGACTTACCTATCAAAAAGTTATGTAACATGCAGCAAGCCATTACAACGAATTCAATATTTCGCGGTTCCAAATTAATGCAAGTGTGAAATATCCGAAATCTGACAGCCAATATTCCGAATATATTTTAGACAATACGTCTTGCTCGTGATAAACGGTAGTTGTAAATTTTTTTCTCCCTAGAAGTCAAGGCTGCCTGTCGAAAAGGTTTCATTAGGTCTACCCTCAATCCAAATGCATCATCTCCTATAAATACATATGGTAGGCTTCAGTAAGTATTCCGTATGGTTTCTTCTACAGGAATTTTCAGGAAATTATTTTGTAGTTTTTCAAAAAATTTGGTATTTTGTAATACACCACCATCATTGCCATTTATTCCGAAATCGCACATTAAAATACGATGGTTTGCATCAACTAAGGCTAATAGCACCATGCTATGAAAACCTTTATATTATAATAATACGATCCGCTTCCAGATGGGGGGACGATGCTCACATGCTTGCCGTCAATGGCCCCAAGGCAATGAGGAAAGTTCCAGAGTTCGTCAAAGCGCTGATAAATGTTTCTCCAGTCTTGTTCTAGTCGTGGAAACTGAAAAAAAAAGATAATATGATGCATTATGCATGCTGAAAATATGCATTAAAAAGTCTGGCGATATATGACAAGAGAAATAAATTGTGTATTTTTTAATTTTTTTCATGCTTTGAATTTATGAAATACGATTAAGTAATACAGTGATAAAAACCATAGATATTTCCACACAAAAAAAACAAACCCAAAGCAACTACTATATATACTATATATATAAGCCGAGAAGTGCTAACGCGCCGTCGTCAGTAGAGGCCATAATATGATGATTGAGACTGATATTTCATATTCGCCTGAACGTGTGAAGGGTGGTCGGTCCATCATGCAACTGGTCTTCGGGCGGACTGTTCAATTTGAACTGACAGGCCTGCCGGATCGTGTGTAGCCAGCATAACTGAATAAATAAGTAAATAACTATACTAAGTGACATATAAATCCGAACACCCAGTTTAAATGGTTTTATTTTAATAAAAGTTGGTAAATGTATTTATCTTACTGTAAATAACAAGTGAAAAAATGTTCAGCCTTACAATTGGACATTCCGGTTTTTACACTGCTTTTTTTTAATTCACTAACTCTCTAAGAATGAATATTTCAGCCGCAGTAAAGAATCAACGTTGGCGGATTTTGGTTCTTGACATCCTTTACGATCGGTTACGATGCCTAGAGTACGGAGACCTGTACGATTTTGTCAACTTAGTGAGTTTGATAGGGGCCGCATAGTGGGACTTCGGGAAGCTGGACTTTCTTTTCGGGCAATTGCAGTTAGAGTGCAAAGAAGTGTAGCCACTGTGGTTAGGTGTTGTCAGGCATGGCTTCGAGAAGGCCGTACGCAAAGAGCAAGGGGCACTGGACGCCGCCGTAGAACAACAGACCGTGAAAATCGCCGCCTAAGATTATTGGCCTTAAGGGACCGTTTCTCCACTACCAGGTCCATTGCAAATGAATGATTTGCAGAACACGAAAGACCTATTGGCATGCGAAGTGTTTACCGACGAACGAGAAGTTTTGGCTTGTTTTCATACCGGCCACACTGGGTCCTCCCTTTAACTCGAGAACACCGACGTAATCGCCTTCAGTCTTGCAGACAACGGTCACTCTGGGATCAGGAATGGAACAGTATTGTCTTTAGTGACGAGTCTCCATTTTGTTTAGGCATGCACGATGGTCGTGCCAGGGTTAGAAGGCGACGTGGTGAAAGGAGGAATCCATAGTTTTTTGTTGAAAGACATGTTCATCACACTGTTGGAGTTATGCTTTGGGGTGCTATAGCTTATGGTTCCAGGTCACCTTTAATCTTCATCAGAGGTAACATGAACGCGCAGCGTTATATCCACGAAGTTCTAGAACCCCATCTTTTACTCTATCTTGACACCCTGGCAGATCCAACTTTCCAACAAGATAATGCCCGACTACATGTTGCAAGAGTCACAATAGACTTCTTTCAACATAATGATGTCACATTGTTACCATGACCACCAAGATCTCCCGACTTATCCCCAATTGAGCACGTGTGGGATATGATGGGTAGGAGATTGCTCAATTTGCCACGTCCTCCTCAGATTCTAGAAGCACTTCGAGAGGAGTTGGTGGTTGCCTGGAATGAGATACCACAGGAGGACATTGACCACCTGATCAGAAGCATGCCTAGGCGCGTTGGAGAATGCGTGGCACATCACGGGGCATCCACACATTATTAAAGGTCAAAGGGCTTTAAAGCAGTGCAATCATTTTGAAATTTTTATCATTTACTTATTATGCTTCATTAAGTACTTATACAAAATTTTATTAAAATAAAACAATTTTAGCTGGATGTTCGGATTTATATGTCACTTAGTATAAATAAATAAATAAATGGACGGATGGACGGATGGACGGATGGACGGATGGACGGATGGACGGATGGACGGATCGACGGGTGGACGGATGGACGGATGGACGGATGGACGGACGGACGGACGGACGGACGAACGAACCAACGAACGAACACGAACGAACGAACGAACGAACGAACAGACGAACGAACGCACGCACGAACGAACGACGAACGAACGAGCGAACGAACAACGTACGAACAAACGAATAAATAAATAAATAAATAAACTATAAGAGCTTGTAGATGAGGATCAGAACTTTGGGGGATCGCACCTTAATCGAATTACAGTTATCTAGGGTGATCATTAATAATCGATTTTAACAGTGGGACAGTTTTAACTCGCACTTTGAGAAATAATACCAATTTATTGTTGGATAACTTTTAGACAGTTTTGGTCTATTGGTGCACTATGAAAGTGTAGATTGTGATGCCACTGTTTTCCTCCGTCTTGATGAGACAATTAAAATTACTTGACAGCTTTATACTTAGTAAAATCTGATACAAAACCACATTAAAAGGTTGGGTTGGCACTGCTATTGAATTTGACATGTTATATTCGAAAAACAAACAATTAACATTTATACCCCATAGAATGGCCAACAAAAGCAAACATTGTTTGATTTGCAACCTATTTGCTTTGTATAAAATATGTTTGGCATTTTCCCTCTCTCTCATTTAATGTTTTATCCAATTCGTGCTCAACAAAGCGAAATATACTCTATAATTCCACTTTTCCAGCTAAATATTGATTTCTATGAATTTTTATTCAATTGTACATACGCTTGTTGGTAAATTTTGCTTTCATTTGAAAAATATTTAATCATACTTGCATATCCGTTAACGAATCGAGTTGTTGCAAAGATGGACTGAAAATGATTTTATTGCGTTCAGTAATTTTTTCCGCATTCATAAGGGGCTAAAAACTACAACTTCACATGGGTTATACTTCACATTGGGCTCAATTTCTTTGCTTAGAGGGTGCCTATGGAGGCATGGGGCTTTGTAAAATTTCAGGATCCTATGTCGAACGGCCGATCTGGAGACGCGCTGAAGCGTGAATTTAAACATCTTGGCAACTTTTCCATTTTCTGGCTACTCCTGTCATTGAGAAGCATTAGGCTCCATTATATAGAACTATTTCTAAAGAAAATTGTCCAAGGAAATCAAAAATCCCGATATGATAATTCGGCAGATATTTCAGTCAAACCTGACTTGTTCAAATTTTTTTTCTGGTTGATTGGGCTGACAATCGGATTGCTTTAAAAACAGAAAATGTAGAAAATTATTCTGTTCGATCAATCCATCTCCGTATATGAATAGAGTCTTGTACTCGGACCTTTGGTCCCCAGAGTGGTTAGCAACATTGGTATTCCAGGTAATAAATTTAATTCCTCCATTTCATTTCTTCCTTTTTTGTTAATTCCAGGGTTGAGTGAACGAACGCTTTTATGTGAGCTCCCCTGTTGAGGCATATGTATATTTGTGTCAACTAATTCGAATATGTTAGAAGCCTGTATGGTTACATTGCACTGTTTCTCGCCAAAATTGTGTGGTTTTAGTGGATGCTTTTGACCCATTTGTCTACCATTGCCTACCAATGTGACAGTATTTGTAATAATAATACAGCTATAAAAATATAATAATAACAATAATAATATTTATTACCCTCATTAAACAGTATATAAAAGTTTACAAACAAAAAGCCTTAAGAGAATAAAGTGCTACATCAGCTTGCCCCTTGCTAGAGCCAAAAAAAACAAACAAATTTAAATAACTCTATAATAATGCAAATGACTAGTAAGACATTGCTAATTAATAGAGTTTTGATATTAAGAAATATAACTAGGTATGGTAAGTAGAGAAATGGAAATTTCGAGTGAGAAAGAGAAAGCGAGATAAGAAGAGAAAAGGGGGAGCAGGAGATATGTTTTTCATGATAGCTGAGACAGTAAATCACTTTTAAGGTTCCTCTTGAATGTAGCTACCGAGAGAGAAAAAATTTTAATTTTTAATATACTTACCAAAAAGGCAATTTGATATGAGAATGATTTCTTAAATGATTCTTTATTGTATTGTCTTGTATTGTAATCAGTTTTAATCTTCTAATATTCAGATTATTTACACCAGTCCGGTAACTAATTTTTAAGTGAAGATAAGGGGGGCTTTTACATTTTATAATCTTGTAAAAAAAGGAAGTAGAGTGAAAAGTACGCCTCTGAGCCATATTCAACCATCCAGTTCAGGTAGTTTGTAGAAATCTCTTTGTCTACCCCTTATGCCAAATATCAGTCTCAGGCAAGAATTCTGAGCTTCTTGATCCTGTTTTTATTTCCACACTATCAAGAAATGGGCCATATACCGTATCAGCAAAGTTGGGGGTAAATTATTTTTAATATTGAATATGCTTTTCTTAGATTCTGAACTTCAGTTTAGACTCAACCAGTAAGCCCAAATCCTTCACGGAGCCTCTAAACGATGTTATATTGTCCTCTCGCTTGACCTTAATATCATTTTTTAATACGTTTCTGTAGGAATCACTACAAAACAATATAGCGTCGATTGACTAGGGTTTATCTTTAACAAGTGATCTTTAGAGGTTTTGAGAAAGCTATCTAAGTCGGTATTCAGTCGGTTCGTTATAAGTTCTGACAGATCAGGTTTAAAGGAGGCATAAATTTGAGTGTCGTCAGCATAAAGATGATAATAACCATAACTTAACGACTTCATGAAATTAAAAGTATATAATAATGGACCCAAAATACTGCCTTGGGGCACCTCTGATGTAATTGTAACTGTATCTGATATGTTCCCATCCAAAGTCACGCGCACCTTTCAGATAAACAAGAATTTATTAATGCATAGCCAGGCTGCTCAAACCCAATATATTTCAGAATAGGCACTAGTATCTCATGATTAATCACGTCAAATGCTTTCGTGATGTCCAATAACACCAAGACAGTAGCATTTCCCGCATCGTGTTCTCTGATGACATCTTTCACAAGATCTGTTAGTGCTGTGGAACAACTGTACCCGGTTCTAAACCCTGTCTGTCTACGGGAGATGATATTTTTGGCAGAAACGTAGTTAGAAACTTGTATAGCGATTGCATTTTCCAAAAGCTTAGAGAGGATCGGTAAAAGTGAAATTGAACGTAGTTGACCAGATTCTGTCGGATCGTTAACCTTAGCCAATAGAAGAACATTGTCCAGCTTCCAGCTTTTAGGAAAATAAGACCTTTTAATACTATTTATAATATGATAATATAAGGAACTATAAAAGGGCAATTCAAAGAAAT